ATCATATGACGTATATATGATTGATATATATATGTATATATCATATATATATATATAATTCAGCCTTAAAAGGAAGGAAATTCTATGATTTGCAACAACATGAGTGATCCTGGAGGGCATTGTGCTAAGTGAAATAAGCCAGACAGAGAAAAATAAATGCTACATGATTTTACTTATATATGGAATTAAAAAAAAAATAGTTGCAGGCTTCCCTGGTGGCACAGTGGTTGAGAGTCCGCCTGCCGATGCAGGGGACACGGGTTCGTGCCCCGGTCCAGGAAGATCCCACATGCTGTGGAGCGGCTGGGCCCGTGAGCCATGGCCGCTGAGCCTGTGCGTCCGGAGCCTGTGCTCTGCAATGGGAGAGGCCACAGCAGTGAGAGGCCTGCGTACCACAGGGGAAAAAAAAAAAAGTTGCACTATTAACAGCAGAATGATTGTTACCATGGGCTGGGGGTGGGGGAAATAGGGAGAGGCTGGTAAAAGGTTACAAACTTTCAGTTTTAAAATGAATACATTGTGAGGATCTAATATATGAGATGGTGACATAGTCAATAGGACTGTATTGCATGATTGAAATTTGCTAAGAGTATAGAAGTGTTAAGTGTTTTCACACACACACACAAAATCAAATATGTGAAGTGATGGATGTGTTACTTAAGTTGATAGTCGGAATCCTTCCATAATGTATGTGTACCTCAAATCATCACACTGTACACTTTAAATATATTCCAGTTTTGTTAATTATACCTCAATGAAGCTGAAAAACATTATCCTCATTTTACCTATGAGAAAACTGAAGTGTAGAAAAGTAATTTTCCCAAGACTATGCAACTAGTCATTGACATACCTGAGAATCAAAGCATGATTTTTTTGTGCCAGAGCTTTGAATGTCTAATACTGTGCTATTCCTCGCCAGTGGAGAAACTGGTAAATGGCCGTCCCAGCAATAAGCCATGATGAACTAAGATGTTAGTTTCCTGTCCTATAAAATATGAGAATTGGACTAGATGAGGTCAAAGGACCTATCCATATCCAACGTGTTACGATTATTATTTTTTAAAGGTAGTTCCATAAGATTTTATCTTTTCTGGATCTTCCCCAACCTCCCAGCCTACATCTACTGAGTCATGGATTGGAAACCAGTGGAAAATTTCCCATGTGACAGTCTGCTCAATTTAGGAAGTAGCTCTCCTTTCATCATTTAAGTCAACTTCGGCTAGGGTTTAAATCATGTTTGATATAAATTTGAGCTATTTTCTCTTTCTGAAACATAATATACTTAAATCAAAAAATTTTAATTACAAAGTAGGAATACATTTCTTTATAGGGCCATATGTCCTTTAAAAGCAGTTGCTGTGACTGGACTGTGTTTCTCTTTCCAATGCTTTGCACTAAATTGATGCTCAGTAAATGTTTGTTGAATAAAATTAACATAAGGTGTTTTTAAACACCAGTTTACATGAAAGTCTGTGATTGAATATGGATTTATATTTACTGTAAGTAATCTATGAAATTTTGTTATTTAAGCTCTGTTTCTCATAATTTTTTGTTTGTTAGCTTATTTCCATTTGTAAAAGGTCAACAAAGGCCTTGCTTGTAATCGCTGATTCAGGACTATTATTTTAGAAACACACACACACACACACACACACACACTTAAATGTGTAACGTTCTATTTTCTTTAAGTGTGTGGTCCGGTACTCAATAGACTAGTTGCAGATTTGAGAGTCAAAAGTGAGGGAAAACCATGTGTTTCTTAGAGACTATATGGGTCCTAATGTTAGCATTTGTAAAATGCTCAGGAAATGAGATTCTAGAGAATTTTATTGATTGAACTTGTGTAGTAGAAGAAACATTTTGGAGGAATACTGGGGGCAGACATTTATTACACAGTGTTGTGGAGTCTGTTAGTGATACGCCTGAAAGGATGCTTTGAGACCACAAGAAGTGAGTCACTTGCCTAAAGTGCCACAGTTACTTACCAGCAGAGTAGAGGCTGGGAGAATTTAAACATCTTTATTCCCAGTTCACTTATCTTCCCAATGCCCTGCATTCAGAGGTTAATTCATTTACTCATTCTCTCATTTATTAAAAATCTATTTGCTATGCACACATCATATTCTAAGCACTTTGATGGATTCCAGAGGTACATGAGTGAACTAAACAAACAGGGCTTCTGCCGTTGTAGGTTTACCGACCTTTGGCTTTTCTTCAGTGATTGAATATTATTAAATTATGGAATTTAGTTTGGGAATACATGTTTCTATGATAAAAGAGATTTAGTTGAAAATTAAGAAATTATTTCTTTCTATATTCCCATAAATTGTGGATTTTGTTGACTAATGGGAATTTATAGAGCAAGTTCATTTTTCTATCACTATTTTTTTTAGATTGATTAATTATACAATGATCCTTATGAAGTTTCTGAAAATTTAGGCACCTTAGAGCAATGAGGATGGGGTTATAAAACAGTGATTTATAAGTTTTCCTACAAAATGGAAAATCCTGAATGGCAGGAGTCAGAGATTAAGGGTCAGCCATTAATCCCCAGCTGAAGATTTTCTTCTTCCGTTACCAAACCTCAGGGACTGTGTGATAGTTTTGTTAAGAAAGCTGTTTCTTCTTTAAATCTCAATAATGTTGTAAACAGTGTTTTAAAAACTAGCCAAATTGGTGTGAAATGCTCTTGACCAATTATTTCAGTACTTCCTGGTTTTTCCTTCTCTACCTAGCCTGGATGTTTAGTTTCCTGCTTGTCTGTAATAAAGATAACTAATAAATTCTCTCTCTCAAGAATGTTTAAATTGTAACTGTTCTTCCTAAATATATTTGAATTTTAAAATAAGAGTAAAAGTAAAGCCAAAAAAAGTAAAGCCAAAATACTAAACTATGGAATTTGAAGGGCAGGATAACCTTCACATCACATCATCTATGGATAAAGTTAGCCTCTGTGTCAAATTATCTCTAGTGTACACTACTTTTGCCTACTTTCTTACATTCCGTTATATATAAGTATGAAAATGTGAAGTTATTCTTCATATTTTTAATATTGATTGTATGTTGTATAATACTTATTTAGTAGACAAAAATTGAGGCAAAAATATGTGGCTATTTGACATCATTTTTCATTAGGATTTTGACATTTAAAAAGTTCTGGATACTCTCAATTTACTGTATTGCATGATTTTTAAAAGAAAACATTTTTCTGTTACAATTGTAAATAGGTTGGTTTTGGTCAATTGATATTTATTGGATAATTGAGAAATGCTTTGCACGTTAACTGGCCTTTGTTTAGCTAAAGGCAGTGATTTTCTAAGGTAAACAGATCAAGAAAAGATGTATTATCTAATCCTTTTGGGTTCCTTTCCTTCTTCTGGGTTCTCTGTTTCCAGGGTCTTTCTTTTTTCTGCATTAACACCTGTTCAGTTTATTTCCTGACTATACAATTCCTAACACCTGGAAGAATGTATGGCAAATATGAAAATTGCTCAGAGCAAGGCAGAAATACTTAAAGGTGTTCATTACTAATAAAATCAAAAGGAATTAAGTTTATTTTTAGCTCAGAAAATTGAATGCTGAAAGTGGATTAATAGTACTATTCAATTAAGTGGTGTGTGTGTGTGTGTGTGTGTGTGTGTGTGTGTGTGTGTTTATTTAGGAGGGATTGTTTGTAGTCTCCTGATCTATTACAGAAACAAGAACATGAAGACAAACTGTTGTTAAAGCAAATCACGTTAGTCATTAAGAAGTATTCTTGTCTCTGGGGGTTTGGAGAACGTCTTTAATTTGTAAGTTCTGAATATCACCTTATGTGAGAATAATCTGGAGATATAACAGGGCAGAGAATGAGCAACCAATAAGAAGAAAGGGAGTGTTCATAGGCAGTGGTAACCAGTAGATTTCACCAGAATTTGTAGCTGACGGTGATATTAACACACGGAAATCACACTAGATGTAACACAGGGGAGCTGAGAGCTACCAAGGCACGTTTGTATCAAGATACTCTGCAGTTAAGCTGTTAAACACGCTTCTGAATAACTAGCTGGCTTTGCACACATTTTGTAAAACAGGCATCGTTATTTACCGGCTTGCCTTTTTGTTACCCCAATGCATTATTTTACACACAGAGCTCAAAATTTGCATTTTTATCTGTGCCCTAATTGGTTAGACATACATACAACTCTTTTAATATTCACTTACTCTCCCCCATACTTTTCCTTCTTCATCCTCATCCATCCCCCAATCACCTGTTCCCAGGTTACCAAGTTCTAATATAGAAATAGAGTGTGCAGCTTCTACAGTTGCTAGAAGTGGGTTAGGCAGGTGTTTGATGCAAAATGACCCATCAAGGACTATAGTTAGTAGAAGGGAGAGGGGAGACAGGTATCAGGTTTCCTGTTGGAGGGGAATTGTATCCTGAATGGTAGTAATTGCCGCGAATCAAGCTCAATGTTTCAACAACAGCTGGTCACACCTGCACAGTCTCCTCCCATGTCTTATAACTGGTCCAGCAGTTAAATAGCTGTAAAGCACTGTCTCCCTGTCTCATTTCCCCTGAGTTCCAACAGCAATAGTAGCAATAGCAGCTGTAGAAGCGGCAGCCAGAGATAGGCAGGGCTGTTGCTTGCAGCCGCTGCATAGCGGATTGCCTCGTCGACACACACACACACACACACACACACACACACACCCAAACACACACACACACACCCGCACAGATTTCCAATATCAGCGCATCTTGATATCAATCAAGGACTCAAAGACAGGAGAGAAGAGCATTAGTCATGGACAACAGGTATTTCATCTCTGACAAATTCCTCCTGATGCTTGTTGGTTTGGATAACAAAATAATCATTCTTGATACCTAGCTTGAGTGGGAGACTGGAGGTGGCCGCGATAGAGGAGGGGGGAAGTGGGAGGAGTGAGGGGTGGGGAAGGGGACTGCCAAAGCTGACTTTCAGGCTCCGGAAACCTACATCTTTCAGCCTCCGCTGTTTTTGAGTTGCAAATTGTCAGGAACCGGGGGATTGCAGGCAGCCCTTGTGGTTGACTGGAAATCGATTTCCATCTCTCAGACACTAGTTAGAATGGGCTGTGTGTTCTGGAAGGGGGTGGAAGTAAGGAGGAGGAGGTGCTGTGAGCAGAGTTCTTGAAGCTCCACTCCTCTGGGGAAGCCGAGCCGTGAGGGGGACTCCTGACTGAGCGGAGCGTGTGAATTGGAAAGGATCCTGCTAGCTGGCTAGTCCCAGTTCCTCTCCAGAAAAGCAGTTGCTCTGGCTTCAGAGATGTGCCCAGCCTTCGCCTGCATCACACTGCAGTAAGTTCAACTCGACACGGTTGGCAGTTTGAGTGGCTTCTGGGTATGTAGTGCGGGGGAAGGGAAGCTGACAAGAAATGGTGAGGAAAGTTAGAAAAGCAGAGCTTTGAATTCTGCATGAGATATTAAATCGGTTTGTCTCCTTGACTCCTGTCCTAGTTACGGTATAGTCGAGTTACTCTCAGTTATTGGCAGACAGAGACCGCTTGTTGGTTAGGTCTGCAAGAGGCACCCTGTTGTGGTGATTTTCGGCAACAAAACTGGTACATGCATTCTAGATTTAATTACAAGAGTGGGCTTCTGAAAGTTACTAACGGATAGCAGCTTGCATTTTCAACAGAAAATTTGTAAACAGGTTGGCTTAGATCTTCAAATGCCCAGTTAATTAAGTTTCATTCCAGACTTGTTCCTAACCTGTAAAGAAGCAATCAAACAAAACAAAAGTCTTTGATTTACTTCATTAAATTAAAATAAAATGTGAAGTAGGTCTTTAGATAATTGCTAGGCAACAGTCGAGGCGAGACTGATGTTATGATAAACACTCAAGTACTCTTTAGTGGGTGCAGGATTCCCCCAGTTTCTTACTACTGCAATCATCTCCTCCACTTGCTAAATGGTGCCTTCCTTGTGATTTCTAAGTGGTGGTTTTTTACATAGATGGCTTTATACTTAGAAACAAGCTGCATGGTGTTCACTGGCAAAAAGTGAGGCTTAAAAAACTTTTTTAAAAATGACTTCTACTGGTGGCTCAAATTGCAGATAACCAACTTTTAAAAGGAGGTAAAAACAGGTCAGCAAAGGCCAGCCCATTGTAAAGCAAATGACCAAATGAATGTGAATGCAGGCAGAATACTAAAGGTCTTTTTCAGAAAGGAAACTAGAAATAATTAATCTGAAAACGTTGGGGTAATTCTAACCAGGTCCTCTTTTACACTGACTAGATTTTTATAATGGAGAAAAAAACGGGAATCTCTTAAGCAGAAAGAATATGTCACAAAAATACTAGACTTAGCCACAGGATCACTGAAGAAAGTACTATATTACTATAGTTTTCTCCAAGAAATATTAATGGAAAAACAGAGGTTATCTACAACAGAATCCAGGATTTTAAGCTGAACACTTTCATGTGTACTTCCATAAATTCTATAGGTTAAAAGGGTGTCAAAACTTAGGAAACAACTATTGTGAAATGCAAAGTAATCTGAAATTCTCCATAATTAGAAAAGAGGAAACTAAAGGTCAGTCTCCTCCAATTATTTCAGTTTTCAGTTGTGTTAAACTTTTCCTAACCCACCTAATCTTGATTATTTTATTAAAAACATATTCTGAATATAATACGAATTACTTTGCCTACTCATCTTGGGGATCTCCAGATATATTTGTGTTATTATTGAAATATCCAACTTTTTAGAGGTAACGCATTCCACACATGCATAATTTCTTGGTGCAAAAAACTGTCCGTATGACTTAGTAAATCACCAAGTCAGATGTAATCCAGGGGATATATTTGTTATGATAGTGCATGCATGATGGTGGTTAAAATTTTTAGCAAAAAACAAAAAAAAAAAAAAGAAAAGGAAACATCTATACAAAGACTAAAAGAACATGTTTGGAGTGAGTTTGCAAGCAGTTCCCTGCTACTCTAGAATAAATCATTACCTGAACCTTAAGAATTTAGCTAAAGAGAAGAAAAATCAGGCTGAGAGCCTGATTGGAACTGGTAAGAATTTAGGTTGGATAGGAGTTTGTCAGAATTTCTTTAAAGATAGAAACTTAGGTAGGTGGCATTGAGTTTCGGGAATACCTTTGCTTCATATTTTGGTTGTCCTGCTGGTAAACAAACCTCATGTTATATCTGAGGAGAAGATTTCCAAAACCATTTTTGAAATAAGTAATTATTTTAAAGTTTAAAACATTGGTAAGTTTTGCTGGAACAGTGTCTGAACTAGACGAGTATCCTGTGACTCATGCTTTTCCTTGCACACTTGAAAGAAGGAAGACTTGTGGCCAGACAAGCCAGACAAAGATCAGCTGGTCCCTCCATCTAATTCTGCCTACCAATCATGACTGTGATGTTGATACATAAGCTTGAAATGACATTTTAAGAATATCATTTCCTGGCTGCTTATTTTCCTGGCTACAGGAACAGAACTGGAACAGAACTGTGCTTATGTATGCTTGATACTCTTGCATTCTTCTCTTAAGCGTAATACCTTTAGCTTAGAAGCATCTGTCTGCAGGAAGCTCTAGATAAGCTATTGAAGAAACGTCTTCCTATTGCCCCTCTCCTATCTATGGCATTTTCTTTCTCTTGTAAAACACCAACCTAAAATATGACCTCAAGTAAGAATCCCATACGCCTGTTCACCCTTAGGTATTTTATTTATCTATATATCTTTATTTATTTATTTATTTTTGGCTGCATTGGGTCTTTATTGCTGTGCATGGACTTTCTCTAGTTGCAGCGAGTGGTGGCTACTCTTTGTTGCAGAGCACGGGCTCTAGGTGTGCGGGCTTCAGTAGTTGGGCTACGTGGGCTCAGTAGTTGTGGCTCGCGGGCTCTAGAGCACAGGCTCAGTAGTTGTGGCACACAGGCTTAGTTGCTTTGTGGCCTGTGGGTTCTTCCCGGACCAGGGCTCGAACCTGTGTCCCCTCTGTTGGCAGGCAGATTCTTAACCACTGCGCCACCAGGGAAGTCCCCACCCTTAGGTATTGACTGGTTACCACTGCAACTCCTTGATAACTCCTTGGATTATTTGCATGTATGATTTTCTCACCACGCAATGCATGACTAGTTCCTAGTTACTGTGAGTGCACAAATGCCAGGCCCTAGGTTAAGCACTTTGTTTTTTAATTGAAATGTAGTTCATTTACAATATTAGTTTCAGGTGTACAACATAGTGGTTCAATATTCCTATGATTACATTCCATTTAAAGTTATAAAATACTGGCTATACTCCCTGGACTGTATATTACATCCTTGTATTTTATTTATTTTAAACATAGTAGTTTGTATCTTCCCCTGTCTTGCCCCTCCCAAGGTTAAGCACTTTAAATATATCTTCTCATTTATGGGATAAAAGCTACAGGAGGGAGATGGCATGCTCTCCCATTTATAAGAAATTCAACCCCAGAGGGAACAAGCAAATTACCTAAAACAGCATATTTAGTAAATGGTGGGCTAGGATTAGCCCCCAAGTGTGACTAGCTCTAACTCTTAGTGACTTTGCCACATTGTTTTATTAAGATGGTACTCTACCATGGATCAAGTGGAATGAGCCTATTGTTTTGCGGATGGCGTGGGTTGAGAGTGCTTGAAAAATTGTATCAGTCAGGAGAGAACTCCCAACTGTACTGACACCCAAGATTGGATCTACCTACATAGGAGCCTAAATTGACTCTAGATCCAAACGTGGCATACTTTGCAATTCCAATTTCAGTGTTCTGCTGTGGCTTCGTGAACCTTGGCAGTGAAGCTGGGGCGTCTTTGCTGGGACGAAAGATGATGGAGTTATTGTGGGAGTAAAATAAAGAGATCGCATGGCGGGAGGCTGGGACGAGAACTTGTCCAGATTCTGTGTTCCAAGGGACTCTAGGAAACAACCTCTTCGGGCTATGTGTGGGGTGGAGATTTTTAAAAACACACATGAAGCAGAGACTCAGAGCACCTCCTTATATATGTCTGATTATAAAAATTAGAGTAGCTTGTTTTCAGATAATCTCCTTTGTGTGTGTGTGTGTGTGTGTGTGTGTGTGTGTGTTTAGGAGGAAAAATGATGATTCAAAGGAAAGTAGGGAGAAAGGCCAGATGATGACTGAAGAGGTAAAACAGTGCTTGGAAATATTACTGGTTCTTGCATAATCACTTTCTGAAAATTTGCCAGGAAATGAAAGGCCATCTTTAAGTGGTGAGGATAAAAACAAAATAGTTCATTTAGGTAAAATTCGAGTGTTAAGAAGAATAGCGTGAATACTGTCATTTGTCATCTTATCACAGAAGACAAATACTAACAAGGAATAAAATGAAAATGTTATGGGCATAAGCCAAACAATATTTTAAGATTGGTCTTTCTCAGCATGCTAAATTTAAACAGATGAAATTCTTTTTCAAGTATTATCTGAGTCAACAGTTGGAAATGAAGAATTTGCCTTTTAGCAGGGAGTCTGTATTGCATTGTAAATTTGAAACAGTGTCCTTGACTCAGTTACTTCATATTGGCAATATGCCAATCACTACAGATCAAGGAGCACAAAAGCTCTCATCTTCAAAATCAAAGTATACTTATACTTTTGTACATGCTCCATAAGGAAAGTTGATGCTACTGAGCTATTATTGTCATAGATCTAGATGGTGATGGGGCTTTGCACATACATTCACATTGTCAGCCCTGATTCTTTCTCTTTACCCTTGTCATTTGTGACACTGCAGGTCGAGGTTAGAAGTAGTTAGTTTCAAGCGTTGGTTTTTGAATGTGGTGCTTTGGCTCTCTTGCCCTCATAGTTTAAAAATAATGATAGTAACTTTCATTGTGTGCTTACTACATGCCAGTTGCTTGTATAAGCATCTTGGGCATATAATCTTGAAAACACTCTTATGTGATAATCCTATTATCATCATTATTTCCATTTTATAAGAGAGAAAACTGAGGCGTAAGAGGGTTAAAGGACTTACCACCCACAGTTAGAAATTAGAATTGAGCTGGGACGTGAACCAGGCAGTCTGGCCCTAGAGCCCATGCTTTTAACCAAAAGGCTCCAAGTCTACTCTTAACTATCACTGGCTTGTTATGTAATTTGGAAATATGCTATGGTGCAAGCTATTTGTTCACCTCTTTTGTCTCTGCTTACACCTATCTCTGTCTATAACTTCTTTCTGGACACCCAGATCCCTCTGCCCTCAGTCTGTTAGGTTTTACCTGATTATACATCTATACCCCTTAAGTTTCTGCTCTAGCATCATGACCTTCTTGAATTCTATTTGTATTCTACCACTGGCCCAACTGTCCTTCTCTGTGGTTCCACTGAACTGTGTGCTTGACTTTA